GCATCTGGGGCAGACAGAACTCTCTGCATCTCCCTCCTCCATGGCCTCAGAGTCCTCTGACCCACCGGGGGAGCAGACACACTGCCTGGACACATCCACTTCTGAAGGGCTAGGCTCGGAAGAGCCGCTGCTGTTCACCGTCCTTACAAAGTCGGGGCTTTGAGAAGCAGTGCTGTGTGAGCTGGAGGCTCCCGCTGTGCTGGCGGTGGCGCTGCTGCAGCTGGGATACACATCCTTGTTTTTTTTCTTTTCAGGAATATCCCTAGCTGCTTTCATATCGGCTTTGATCTGCTCACTGGTGACCTGACAGCCTTTCTCACAGCTGCTTTCCTCGAGGGGACACTGCTTCGACTGGCCCATCTGATGGGAGCTGTACCTCTTTCGAAGTGGAGTCTTGCCTTTTCCACTTACTGCTTACAGAAAAAGAAGAACGGCCCGAGGAAAAGAAAAGATTTCAGTACAAATTCTGGACAAAAGGCAAGAGTAAATCTGGAACAGGAAACAACGTACACTAGTTTTCCTAGAGCATAATGGTGACATCACTCAGCTGCTCAAAAAACTCCCTGTGGTCTCTACTGCCTACCTGGTTTATTCTCCTCAGTTCAGCCTCCAAGGCCCATCATGATCTAATGCCAAACTACCCTTCTGGTTTCGTCCCCTCTATATACACTCTACACGCTATAGCTCAAACCTGTCTCTCAACCTACCCTGCCTTGCTACCTCAGGGCCTTTGTTCTCACCAATTCTTCAGCCTTCACCTCTGTCCAATCTCTTCTGCACCCCTACCCAAAGCCCTGTAGTATATGCCCTGTAATATTACTGTTTAGATTTCTGACCCAATTCTTCGACCAGACTAGAGGTTCCCTAGAGAGAGAGGGGTCATGACGTCTTCATCTCTGCATCCCTCACTGCACTTAACATAGTACCTGGGGCACAGTAAGGCTCAATGAGTACATAAAAGAATACTTCAATAAGATTTTGTCTGGCTGACAGAAGATCTAGTTCCTAAATTCAGAAACTGAACTTTCTAGGAAACATTAGCTGGTCACATTCCTTTTCCTAAATTTGAGTTTCTGTAAAAGCCCCTTTCAACCACAGTGTGAAGATACCCGAATTTCTGTAAAGGAACAAAATGAGAATTGAGTAATCAGTCATTGGTTAGTAAACGATTCCAAGTCTAAAGAACCGAGCTTTCCACACAGAAGTGTGTATATATTCCCGGTTCAGTGTTAAATGTATACTGAGCACTCAAACACATTAAGGTGTAGGGTACCCAAGGGAAATTAGTGGACAATTTGTAAAAACCTCATCCTTTCTCGTAGTGGTAAGCATGTGGTTCTGAGAAACAGAAGGGAAGGAGAGACAAGGAAGAAGAGTGAACTGAAGGTTAAGACAATTATAGTTTCTTGGTGAGGAAAAAGGGTAGAAGGCTGTTGACTAAGATACAAAGGGAGGCAGGGATTGTAAGAACACACTTCAGGACTCCCTCAAGCACCAAACTAGCCACCAACATTCACTAAGCACACCTGGACAGACTGTCAACTGGGGAGTGGCTGTCTCCTCACTGTTCTGGATGCCTCGGGGGTCATCCCCCATGTGAGGCCCAGGCCTCTCACTAATCCCTGGTACCCTGATGCCACAAAGCCTCTACTGTGGAAGTAATCCTCACGTCTTTTCTTCCCTGAGCCTTGATTCCAGAATATTTTTGTTGTGCTACACCTGCCCTCGAGAGCACCACCCAGATTCCCCTCCCCCTTGGGCTACTGCTCTTCTCACCTCCTGTCACATTCCGTAAGGATACGTTAACTGCACCACAAGTTGTGGTAAGGACACATTATACAAAGGTCAAGTGTGTCTGTCAATTCTCTTGATGACTCCCACTAACAGGTCCCGGCAAGACAACATCTCTCACCTGACAATTCCCTGGACTGCACGGACTCTCCAGATTTTTCTTCACGCTCAGAGTAACGCCGAGCACCATTCTTAGGAATCCAGACTTCTTGAAGTTCTAGACTGTCTTCCTCATCATCACTCTCTGAATCATGAACAGTAATTGGGGTTGGTTTTACGACACGCTGAAGACCACTGGGTCCTAAAACAAAAAAGCACAGGCCGAACATTACTTTTTGCCAAGAAGAAAGGCTGTCACTTTAAGTACTGTTTCCAAGGATCTGGACTCACGGAGATGCTATGGCTCTAAGTAGCCTCTCTTACCACTCACATTAATGGAATATACGCTTGGATAAGATACTGGGAAGCACTTTAAAATTTAACGCATTATGAAAACCTTGAGTATGATTAATATGCCAACCAACAGTATGCATTTCTAAAGGCAGATCAAGACAGAAGATCGTACAGCAGCCCCCTTCAGGACCTTCACTATTTGAAAAAGTCACATAAATCATCCTAAAAATAATCCTATTGAAAAAATAGGCTACTGTCCCAATTTTGCAAATGTATGAATGAAGACAAAGGAAATGAGGCCGAACCTCAGACACCTACAGGACTGGTGAGAAGTCTCTGCCTTCTTTAACTGAGCATCACACTATCTCACTGGATATATCAGGTATGTTCTTGAAAGGCTCGATGCATGTTACGGTTGGGTTATTTGAGTATCTGCATTTATGTAAAAAATGTTTTCTCTGTTTGGTAGTATACCTTAAAAACGTTTAGTTCTTATAACCCAATTCTCTCTGAAAAATGACTTAAGTTCACTCCACCGATAAAATGTAAGCTCCAAGGAACCTTGCCTGTCTTGTTCCTGTTACACTGTACAATGCCTGGCCCAGAGTAATACTCAGTTAATATTTGTTGAATAAGTGACTGCATCTGTAAGACACTTAAAACAAGGACAGTTAAAATATTTTCAATTCAAAGACAAGGTGGCATTCCAACAGACAAGGAGTGCAAAAATTTGAGCTGTAATTTCAGTTCTGTCCCCTGATGACCGGGGGAGTGGTCTTAAACAAGTTATGCAAATTCATTCTGAAACACTATTAGTTTCTCCACCTGTAAAATGCAGGGTTGTATAAGGTCATCTTCTGGGGCCTTATGACTCTATGGCCTGCCATAAGTCACCCAACGGCAAATGGAGACTAGATCTTGCTCTGTTAACTAAACTGGGTCAACCTCTCCACTCCTGCTCCTCCCCACCAAAATGAAGGGAGAGAGAGAACAAGCAAAATACTTAATCAGGTCATTTACTTTCTCCATCACAATTTGAGGTCTGTCTTTCTACATAAACACGCATGTGTGAACACCAATATAGAAAGAGGAGTTGTTACCACAGTTACACAAAATAACTAACCAGACCTTAGTAAGATCCATAAATGTGCAGCAAGACTACCACTCTAACACAGGCAGGCCTCAATAATAAATAGCATATAACACATCGCTAGCTACAATATTAAAAAACAAATCACGCTGAGTGCTTTACTTTCATTAGAGTCAGGCCTGCGTTTTCATAACCATGAATGTGGGAGTCGCAGGATTACCTGCTTGCTCCTCGTCAACATCCACAGGGATGACCGCCTGACTGCGAGCTGCCGTCTCCCGTCCGCTCGCAGCCACCAACTCTCCGTCTTCTGGCACCATGTCTTCCATCTCATTCAATGCTTTAACAAAAATAAACACAAAGTGAAACAGGAGAGGTCTACAAAAACCACCACAGCAGGCAAGTCTGGGGCACCCCAGAGAAATGAACGGCCCTGTGATTATTAGGCCCACTTGGGAAGGACAGCCTGTAACCGGGCTTCGTGAGACCGACGTGAACAAGGAGCACTCAGTTATTCCATGGGACAGGAAATCACGATGGGAAAGGAGCACGTGGGGGAGCAAGTCCATCACCGGAGGACGAGAGCAGGGAGAACGGCACACAGCTGGCAGAAGAAAAGCACCACGTTCATTCCTGAAGAGGTTGACAGGAATGGCTCTATGAGGCAGCTGTGTGCCAGCTACCGGAAGCCTTATGATCATTTTATAAGCAATGATAGTACTTGCCAGCTGACACCACGACGTACTGGGCAAGCACGCTCAAACTGTACGTGTCCTCTCCTACTCTCTGGAGGCTGTGGTATCATTTTTGGCTAACACGTGACAAGGATTACCAACAAATAAACTAAGTGCACTTTGAAATTTTAGTACCACTCAGATGTTTGGCATCAAAGAATTCGTGGCAGTTACTAATGCCTATACGTGAATGAGAACGTGTGATTTTATTTACATTGTCCCAGAAGACGAGCACAGTTTCAGACCGATAACCTCAATCAGTTTATCCTCTGAAGATAAAATGGTCACTTTTCCAAGAGGACCCTAAATAAAAGAATTCCTGGCTTTGCCAGCTTTTTACAAGATTAAATTCAAATCCCTCAAGTCAGCATTCAAGGCCGTCCATCTAGTGCCCTCTTACAGCCTAAGCCTGTATGCCTGATCTCAGATTGAGTCAGGATAACAGCAGTACCATCCTTCACATTACAGCTCGGCCACGACACAGGGCAGCAGAGACTGTGTCCACCCTGTTCGTCACTGTATCCTCAGTACCTAGGGGTGCTCAATGACTATGGCTGGCAAATCAATCAACCAACCAACCAACCATCTGGGTGAAATGAACAAACCAACAAAGAGAAAACAAGATCCTGTTCCTGAAAGAACTGAACAATCTACTTAGGTAGACAAGACAAACTCATACAGTCAACAAACAAGGCAAAATAGGATTATGACAGAAGACACCATTCAGCTAGGTGTCTATGGAATATACAACAGTGAAATCTGAGATTTTATGGGGACAGTGGGATTTTCTTTGGTCTTTAATATACACTAAAACACATCCCCCCCCCTATGTTCGGTCCCCCATCTCCAATTCCTGCCCAGCTCTAGCCCTCAATATTCTACATTTCATTTAGTGCCCAAAGGTGGGCTAACCTTGCATACAAACCTGTCATGATAAAAGACCAATCGATTTTCCTCATTTAATTCTTATGAGCAATTATGAACAGCAGTTGGTAATCAACGTGTCCATACTCTAACCTTACTTATTTCTTAAAGCAATCTTGTAAGGGCACTATTATTAGTCTCCTGTATGCACAGTTAAGGAAAAGGTTAGTAGTCTGCTAGGATTTGAACTGAGGTGTTTCCTGAGCCTACAATATACGGACAGTGAGTAAATGGAGAATTTATAGTCCCTGCTCTCAAAGAGAATGCACACATTCTAACAGAGATGTCAGAAATGCAGAATAAGGTCAGAAGAGACTTGCTAAGTGCTAAAAAAGTCCAACTGCAAGGGGAATAATGACAAAAAAAGGAACAACTGGTTTTCCTGGTGGGCAGGGAAGTTTTTCACTGATATGAAGTGATACTTCCTATACACCAGGATGCAGGTTACATATTCCTGGAGAGTAAGTATCCCAGTGATTAAAAAAAAAAAGTGTTTGTGTTGAGATGAGGGTGTAAGAGCAAACAAGGCTAAACAGGTAGCCTGGGCCCCAAACTGTGAAAAGCTTAGAAAGGCTCACTGAAAAGCTTACAATTATTTCTCCCAGACAGAGGTGAACCATCAGAGCAGAAGTACATTCCTATGTCCATGTGATAAGGTTTTCCAAAGCTGCTGAGCAACAGCTTTTTAGGTGTTTAATATCATATCCAAAAGTTACTTTATACTTAATTTCTTTCATGACCTTCATTCATTTGAGTATTTATTAAGCATCTACCACAACGTGCTACTGTTCCCAGGTGCGAAGAAACAGTGATTATATTCAAGATCTCTATTCTCATGGAGGTTACTCCAATTGGGGAAAGGAAGAACTATTAATAAACAATAATAAAGAGATCTGATAGTAATATTTAATGTAACAAAAGAGAATAAATTGGTGGCTACTTAAGGTGGAAAGTTCGTCAGCAGGTACAAACTCCTGACGGCAAGTCATGAGGATGTGACCAACGTACAGCATGGTGGCTACAGCTAATACTGTACTGCATATGTCAAAGTCACTGACAGAGTAGATCCTAGCATTTCTCATCACAAGAAAAAAGGCTGTAACGATGTATGGTGGCAGATGTCTACTAGACTTATTGTGGTGATCATTTCACAACATATTTATAAGTATCATCATGTGGTACACCTGAAGCTACCATGCCAATTGTAACTTAATTAATAAAAAGGTGGTATGGAAAGATATCTCTGAGATTAACGTTTAAACTAAGACCTAATACCAAGAAGGAACCAGCCATGCAAAGATGGAGGGAGGGCCATCCTGAGAGGCAGCAGTTAGTGTAACAGGAGGTGCGAGCCTGGCTCACAACAAGTGTGGTGGGTGAGGTGGGGAGCAGCACGAGGTGAGGACAGGCCAGATCACGTAGGGTTTTATGGCCCAAATCAAGAAACTGGATTTTTTTCCTAAGGCAATAGGAAGCTACTAGAAAGTCTGAAGAAAGGGAGCCATGTCGCCTGGTATATGTTTTTTTTTTTTTTTTACATTTATTTATTTTTGATAGAGAGAGACAGAGCACAAGTGGGGGAGGGGCAGAGAGAGAAGGACACAGAATCCAAAGCAGGCTCCGGGCTCCGAGCTGTCAGCACAGAACCCAACGCGGGACTCAAACTCACAAGCCGTGAGATCATGACCTGAGCCCAAGTCAAAGTCGTACGCTTAACCGAATGAGCCACCGAGGTGCCCTGTCTGGTTATGTTCTAACAAGACTGCCCTTGCTGCTCTAAGACTTAATTTTAGCTGATCAAGAGAGAAAGCAGGGAGACCAGTCTGAGAGGTATTAACGCCTGATGTGGCACAGTGGTGGTACAATGGGCAAGGAGAATGGAGAACAAATGGGGAGACTTTTAGAAGACAGTAACAAGTCCTTGTCATAGAGAGCAAGGAGGTGGTGATAAAGAAAAGAGAGGACATGATTCTTGGTTTAGATGCTTTTGTGTCATGATATTTTATCATCAGGGCAGTACATTTTTTTCAGAATGATTTTAACTTACAGAAATTATGTAAGCAATCTTTTAATCAAATATCAACGTTTACCAAACGTTTTGTTCAGCTGAAATGTTATCTCGGTTGTAAAAAATCCTGTTACAAAACATAGTCATAAACCTTAACGGATCTGAGCTGTTTTTACAGATATATAACTGGTCTCTTTTATATAAAACCTGATTAGAAATTTATAACTTTTATTAAATGTTGTAAAAATAAAGGAGAACTCACTGCCTTTTAACAAAATGATTTTATATGTAACCATTTCTAGTATTAGAAATATTATTTAGTGGTTAACAGTTATCTGCCCAAAATATAAAATAAAATGCATTTACTGTGATTTTTTTTTTTTTTTTTTAACATTGTAGCTCATTCTCGGGCTTCAAATATAAGGATTTTCCGAAAATTAATGGTTCTCATTCTCAAACGGCGGCTCCAGACCAGCAGCATTAGCATCACTCGGGAACTTGTTAAAAATGAAAGTTATCTGGCCCCACCCAGCCCTACTAGCTTGGACCCTCTGAAGGCTAAGCCCAGCAACCTGTGTTCTGACAAGTCTTCCAGGTAATCCTGATGCACTAAGGTTTGAGAACCACTGCCAAAAACAAAGGCAGCAGAACAGTTTCACTTAGATTAATTTAGGTTAATGGAGGGCAGAGGGCAGTGGTGAAGGAAGGGAGCAGGGTACACAATTTTTAAAAGTAGGTAAGTACCTGGGATTTATGTGTTAAATCAAGATAGAAATTTGGTAAAATGATATATAGGCAAAACTATGCTTTGTGGTTATAATTACTTCAAAGGTAATTATATTAAAGCAATTTGGCAACATGTGTTAGCAATTACAGAAGCATGATTTTGACACATGGTAATTTTATGTTAGGCAAATTACTAAAATATGGACACCTACTCCTGTTTTAGAGTGTTGTAAAATGCAGGTAATGAACTTACATTTTCAATTAACATAACTAGCCCATAATAAAGCATTCTAAATCTTAAGAATGTTGGAAGCGCAAATACAAGAATAATATTCTTATCAAATTATAATGTTCTGATCAATCAATACAGTACTCTACAAGCAATAAAATCATTTTCTGAAGCCCTACATCACCTTAATGATAATGTTCACTGAAAAACAGGATTATAGGAGTTTATAAACAAAGACACTTAACTTATGCAAATTAAATGGCTTTTAAAATTCTACAATGCCCTTCTTTTAAACTCTGCTACTCCATGCAAGCTGATGAAGTTTAAATACCACAATAAAGAGTGGGGGCCTCTGCTTCATTCTGGGGTTGTTCCAAAAACCAAGTAGTGGCCCATGCATGAAGACTTTTCAAATTGTAAATTGAGTTAAATCAACATGTCAATACCACTTTCAAAACTCAAGTAATTTTTAAGCTACTGTTAAGTTCGCATGTAGAGTAGAAGCATCAATGTCAGTCATTTCAACAAATGCTAAGTCCCACTCCCTGTACTGCTATTTAAATTATTTTTTTCTTCACTTCCTTTTTATTTGGAATCTTTCCACTTCTGGTTTTGATCAAAAGTCACATCCCAGCTCCTTATTTCTTACTTAAAAGAATCAAACTGGTAAATAAGGTAGTAACAAATACAAATAAATATTTTGCCAACTCAGAGAGATGTGTGGAACCAATGTATATGACCATCGGCATTTCTCTACAAGTGCTGCCATCATCTTTGGTGTTCCTAGCCTTCCTCTGGTTGAAACTGTTTGATTCTTCAATCTCGGCATTTCTGTATTCATTCCTTTTGCTTCTTAGCCTTTCATGGCATTTGAAGATAGAGTACCTGACAACACTATACCTCAAAATGTGGTCTGTATGCAAGTGTCTCATCTCCTGAGATCTTAGTTTCAGATGTTAGTAAGGTTCCACTGCTCTCTCATGAACCAAATACAATGTTCTTGCACACGTTTTGATCTCTGCTGCACCAATATGTGATTTCATAATGGAAGGCATTCTCCATTCTGTACTGAGAAGCCTCTGGCCATGTAACTTCCTGGAGACTATCATCTGTCCAGTGCATCCACTCCAACCACAATGGGGTCCCTAGGATTTGGGTAGGTCTGCACTGCGGTTGCTGTAACAGTTTCTCATGGATGGTCTGTGTCCTCTGAAGTCCAGGTCCTCATGGTGCTATGTGATGGTACTTAGGGACAAGAAGGCAAAGAGACAATACCTGACCTCACTCTCCCTCCTTCAGTCCTGGCACCTGCTGACTCTGCACTTTTGTTTTTGTATTTTGCGGGGAGGATGTCAGGGGAGAGATTTAACCCTAAGTTTAAAATTCCTAAAAGTACTCATGTAGAAATAAAAAGGATAAAGTTGTACATAACTGTAAATTACCTCAAGAAGTAAGAAGATTGAAGCTAGAAATAAAGGTTAGGAATTCGTTAGCATATAGTTGGTACCGAAGCTGGGGGTGAGTGAGCTCATCTAGAGAAAATGTGTAGAGAGAGACAGACAGATGGAGAGTCAAAGTAGAATAGAGAAGGTGCTGCAGGCAAAGGAAACTGAACGGACACGTCCAGTGAGACACTAGGAAAACCAGGAAGATGGTTTCAGAGATGCCAAGAGTTATCTCAGGAAGGTAGCAGTGGACAAGAATGACAAATGCTGCTGAGATGTTAAATAAGATGCAAGTGGAGAAATGACCATCATCTTTCTTAACAGAGCCACTGATGACTTTACCGAGAGCCAAAATGGAGAGTTCTGCAGAAAACATGTGCGGTGAGAAAGTGAAGACAATGCCTACAGATGACTCTTCAGTCGGGACCTATATTCTTGGAGCAATCCCAAAGGGAAGTGTGCTCAACACACAGTGTGCTTTCATGATGAAAGCACTTACAGAACCTCAGGGCACCCTATTTCTCATTAATTACTGTGTCCAAGAAAATGAGCAAAAGGACAACGCTAACAAGATGGCGTGGAGAGATTCTTTTTCCAGTTCTTGAGGGTCAACCGGGAAACTGGAAAACGTGGTAAGAACGCAACTTCCCTCCATCCTCACTCACCAACAGAGGGGCAGATGAAGCCTAAGAACACAGGGGCTGGACACAGCAGGTGTTTAGTCAATACTGAAGAGCTGCATGGATAATTACGTAAGTGAATCCAACAGAGACGTCTTTATTAGCTCAGGTACCTAATATGTTGGGTGGCTGTTGAGACTTAATGATGAAAGGCAAGTGAGAGGTGCCCAACACAATATCTAGCACGTGACTGGTATTCATTTTTGTCAGATCTAGGAACATCCAAAAATAGTCTCCACAATGAAATTCAATTTACCTATTTATCGGTCAGGGAGATAGAATGGGATGATCTTTTGCCCAAATCCTGAAAGTTAAATTTCAGTTAAGCCAGGCCTCTAAGGCTCACTGTATCCAAATTCCACAGCATTGATGCGTCCTTCCCATTCTGTATGCACCCTTACAGATTTTATGGACGAGAGGCATCATGGCTTTGAAACGAATAAGCAGACAGGCACATTTCATCCACCACCCACCCCATCTGCCTCGTCACCCAGGTCCCCACAATGTGTAAAGTGACAAACTGAAACGGGGGAAGAAGGGAACGGAACAGGGTCAGTCAGAGAAATATAATCCAAAGTAAAAATCATTTCTGTTTGGAGCTCACAAAAGATCTGGGTTACCGTCGGCTGCAAACTGCTGCTCTCCTGGCTGCAGGTCTGGCCGGAAGTCGTTCTCCTCATCGGAGTCATCTGGATGATGGTGATTGTTATCGTGGATGTTGGCATTATTCTGGGCATTATTGTCATTGTCATTGTTGGAGTTCTGGTTGCTAACAAGGGCCGAGGAAACCCCGATTCCTGTGCCTGCACTTAGACCAACTCGAGCACAGCCCTAAGGCAAGACGAAACCACATGCATGTTCATTGAAGTTAGTACAGAACACTTCATTTTTAACATTCATCTTTATGTAAGAATATTTACATAGCACGACTTTCACATATGCATAAAGGACCTTATTAAAGGCAAGCAAGACGAAGTGTTATCAGTCTGGATTTATAGGTGATGAAATGCACAGTGGAAAGAGGTCTGTGCTATAGCTGCGACCTGAAACCCCACATTCTAACCTCAAATCCTGAGCCTCCCCCCACTATATTGTACTGCTTCCAACAGTGGGAATGTGACCATTAAGAACTGAGGAGAGGGGCTCCTGGGTGGCTCAGTTGGTTAAGCATCAGACTTCAGCTTAGGTCATGATCTCACGGTTTGTGGGTTCGAGCCCCGTGTCGGGCTCTGTGCTGACAGCTCAGAGCCTGGAGCCTGCTTTGGATTCTGGGTCTCCCTCTCTCTCTGCTCCTCCCCAGTTTGCACTCTGTCTCTCTCAAATAAATAAACATTAAAAAAAAAAAAAATTAAGAACTGAGAAGAGAAAAAAAAACTGAGGAGAGAAGATAATTAGTTGAAACATCAAGTTTTTATTACAGGGCGAATGAAGTGTTATTTGTGAAGTAGTTTAAAAATAACATTCTGAACAACTAGACAATCTCAGATTTTTCAGGATATGCACAGGAAAGAGAACAGCAAAGTAAAACATTTCCAAAATAAATCCCTAATCCTTATTTATATCTGAGGTTCCTTTTTTTTTTTTTTTTTTAATGTTTATTTATTTTGAGAGAGAGCATGAGTACAAGCAGGGGAGAGAGGCAAAGAGAGAAAAAGAGAGAGAATCTCAAGCAGGTTCCATACTATCAGCACAGAGCCTGACACAACTGGGGGTCAGGGGGAGGCTCGATCTCACAAACCACGAGATCTTGACCTGGGGCCAAAATCAAGAGTCAGGCACCTAACCTACTTGAGACACCCAGGCACCCCATATATTTGAGGTTCCTAAGTAAAGATTTATTCTCCCAACTAACTGAGTAATAAATTTGGCTTGGCTCAAATTTCCACCATTGCTTTTACCTTACCTTGTTTGTAGAACTGACGGAGACAGCTTTCCACTTACATTTTCCTTCCCCTCCTCTGGAGACCCCTTACCAGAACAAGGGACCATGTAACACTATAACCTTTATGCCTTCACTGAAGCTAGCAGTAAAAAGTCTAATTATAATGTAAAGGCATATTATTAGAAAGAAAAGCACTTAGGTTTTGTGTTTTTCCTTGAGTATTAAAACAAATAAAAAATCCCACAAACGTGACTTACTTTGGGTGGCTCACGAAACATCTGGTCTAGCGAAATAAACTCCAGGCTGGGCAACAATTCAATAAACTGGCCAAAGGAGTCCAGCTTCAAAGCGTGGCACCGCACTAAGTTGATATCAACCAATCGAGTCCATCTTGAGTGGTCTGTTGGAGAAATGGCGTGGCCAGAGAATTTAACTAACATTTTCTCCATTTTCTCCACTACAGATGAATTTTGCTATAGGTCACAAATACTTTCCAATCCTTTTTCTTTAAAGAACTTTGCTCTTCTCTCATGATCTCAAAAACTTGTTGACTAACCTATGATGTTTCCTTACCTAATTTCACTGTGAGAACTACATGGCTTGGGAACCATTAACTGGAAACCAAGTCAGCCTTGATTTAAAATGTGATCCATTCAACAACCTACAGGCCTCTTCAACAATAGGACACTAGTTAAAAAGATGTTGGTGCATTCATTTAATACAACATTATGCAGCTCTTTTAAAAGAATGAAGGAGAATTGAGTATTGCTATGGAAAGCTCTCCCAGATATTCCGAGTGTGAAAAACAAGCTACAGGAGAGGATACACATAGTAAGGCCCTTTTGTATATATAAATCATTTTGAAATGCAATACATGTATAGGCTGCAATATGCACAAAATAATCTGTCCAGAAGAATATATAAGAAACCGTTGATGGTGGTTACCTTTGAGAAGAGGAGACTTTTCATTTTGTACCTTTCTGTACTGTTTGGTATTGTTTATCAAGTGCATGTATTACTTTTAGTTTTTAAGTGTTAACAGGAGTTCTGAGTGATGGGATTATAGGCCATTTTTTTGTTTTCTTCTTTATACTCTTCTGTATTTAAGAAAACAAACAAACCAAAAATCCAATAAATGTTATTTTTTAAAAGTGATCTATGCCTGCTACAACCTAGTTTGTATTTCCCAATAACTTTTTGGTGCAGCTGGGCCAGGGACAGGATTTCACTTCCAGCAGGGGAGACATGGCCATTCTAGTGAGTCATCTCAGCAGATGCCCCAGAGCCCGAAGAAGATAGGCTGGAGACGGCCCTGCAAGGGGCCGCAGTACCCCTGTGAGGCAGCGCAAACAGTAGAGGAGCTGTTCTGCGGGTGGCAGTGAGGGGGCCTGGTTTGGTGAAAGATGATGTCACAACGAAAGTTCTCTAGCTCTGAATTCACTTAAAGGTTTGTGAATTTAGGTATTCAAGAAGGGCCTTAAAGAAACTCAGGGAGGAAAATGAACCCCCCCAAATAAGGAAACATATCAATCACAAAAGTCACACTTGTACACATAAGGGATCAGGTGGGGAGAGGAAAGCTGAAATAGCCAAGGATTTTAAGGCAACTGAACAGTTCAATACAAGTTAATGTTAAACATGTCACCTAATTAAAGTTTTTTTGTTTTTTTTTTTTTTAAATACATACCCACTTTGTCCTTTCAGATGATGTGCCCATTTGCAGGTAATTCAGAGAAAACAAATATCCCAGGCAACAATTGCTAACATTAATTTTATGTCCCTGACTGAATGAAATATATATAAAAATCAGGGAAGTTGAATCCATAACCTAGACAGTGCCAATTTCTAGGCAGAGAATTTCAGAGTTCGAAGAAGCACCGACAGAATTCCAAGTTCGTTATCAAAGGTTCCCAGAACTTGTACGAACGATCCATACAAAATATCTACATTTTTACAATAGGAATGCAATTCGTAACCACACGGAGAAAAAAAGAAAAACATATTACTTTCGATACCAGTCAGACATAGCCTTAGTTAAGCCTACAGTACCTGAGATCCAATTGTATGGGTTATGTAGATGGGGGCAATTGTAAATTGCCAGGTATTTGATACAGGAAAAAACTTCATTGACTGCCTTCATCCCTATATCGGTGATGATACCAGGATTTTCTACCACATCGGCCAAACCATACTTTACCAGATCTGCATTTGCCATTCTACCTAAAAAGAGAGATTAAAAAAAAAAGAGACAGAGAGAGAAATTCTTAAATGTCATGGAACGTTGCCAATTCTTTATTTTAACATCCAGTATATCACTCTCTATGACCGTTCTGGGTCATCTATCCATCATGTATTCAGGTTTGAGTACAATTTTAGGTTAGGTAGTCTGTGCAAATACCATTTATATTGCAAAATAAAAATTTATATTAAAAGCCAAGGGATAGCTAGTAGAAACATATTATTTTCAATTGTTTAGGAAAGGAAAAAAGCAAAAATTCTTAAAAGTAAAACAACATATTGTATTAGTTCACACTTATAGGGAAGTTTTAGTTTTACCTTTTGAAAAGAAAAATAAGATCTTTAATACGTAATTCTCTTTCACAAGTAACAGGATCATATTTTTGGAGTCGGGTATGGCCACGTAGAAAAAAGTAAACTGGGAAATCAGACTCATTCTTAGCCCCTGTGGTATTGCTTAGTAAAGAGGAGCCCATCCCCAGAAAGTGGACTTCTAACTCAAATACACCCACTCCCTCTCCCACTGGGCTTTACTGCCTCCTGTCATAGGCACAGACTGAGGGTCGGGGAGGTAGGGATTAGTAAAAGAGGATCCTCCTACTAGACTAGACGGCACTGGAAATCATACCTCATTATTCGCCTTTTGTCCTCATTTCCCCCGGCTGCCTGCCCCTACTCTCCAAGATGGTCCACTTGACTATACGCAATTTGAAGGAAAAAGGGAGCGTGACTAGTTTACAGTTATAATTTCTGTGTCCAGCGTAGTGCTGGGATGCAGGCACTCTCATCAATGTCTCTCACAGTCCTTACTGCCATCTGACACAAAACACAAACAAAACTGTTGCTCTGATGAAGCTGCCCCGCATATGGCAGGGACTGACACCTTCAGCCCAGAACACATTTACGACTATTTACTCCAAGCTCTACCAATTTTACTCTCCACACGGGTCACGGTCTCTCTCCTATAGTCCCTGTTTTTGGTATTTTCTGGCATTTCTTGCAGAGTTTACCTTAACCTATCCTTTACAGTTTGGGTGAGCAATTTTCTTCAGCCTGCTTATAAAAACAGCCGCCTGGGGGCGCCTGGGTGGCGCAGTCGGTTAAGCGTCCGACTTCAGCCAGGTCACGATCTCGCGGTCCGTGAGTTCGAGCCCCGCGTCAGGCTCTGGGCTGATGGCTCGGAGCCTGGAGCCTGTTTCCGATTCTGTGTCTCCCTCTCTCTCTGCCCCTCCCCCGTTCATGCTCTGTCTCTCCTGTCCCAAAAATAAATAAACATTGAAAAAAAAAAAAATTTAAAAAAAAAAATAAAAAAAAAAAAATAAAAACAGCCGCCTGTTTTCTTGTCCTTTGGACTTGAAACTTGTCTTCTCTCTAATGACTGGGTAAATCTTGAACTGGCTCTGTTCTCTGTCTGCATAAATGCTGCAACCTAACACGATAAACCCACCTGATGTTCACTCCTTTGAGGCCACCTCCTTCTTCTGGCTCTCAGGGTCTCCGGATTATCATGCTCCCTCAAGCACCCTGATGATATCACCTAGAACTCATTTTTGTTTCCTTTTTCTTTAGCCCACAGGTCAGCTAAAAGTAAAAGCTACCATTCACTAAATGCTTTCTAAATGTCAGAGACTGTAACGATAAAACTGGTTTTATTACTGACTCCTCCAAACCATCTGAGGGAAAAGTGGGAAGTGGTCTACCTCCGCTGTAACAAATGGGAAAACATGGAATTAAGAAGTAACCTGCCCAAGGTCCCATCAGTTATGAGGCAGGTCTCTCCCCCGCTCTCCAAAGCCCCAGCACCAAAGATTACTCTATACTGCTCTGGTTTTTAAAGAGTTTTAGGTGACTTTTCTTATATTCTTAACACATAGCATCTGCTTTTCAGCATATCCATATCCCCAACCTGGCACTGTCATTTCTGCCATAAATGTATGGGGCACAAAGGTGCTGTTTCCATTTAAGTTTTGCCAAGTCTTTGCAACAAAACAATGATACAAGTTTTACTAGAGGTGATGCCACCTCCACCTTCTGGAAAGATGCTTCAAAATCTAAATCACTGGAAGAGTGAGTTTAAGGGATGAAGTATACATTCCTTCCTAGACAGTCTGTTAGAGGCACCTGTCATCACCGTGAGACAGAGAATCCTAGGCTGTCTCTGGAGGAACGGAGGCAAGTATGTATATGGAGAAATGGGTGAACTGCAGCAAATATGAAGACGAGAATTGCTTACGAAAGGTCAAGATGAGACTTCTATCAAAGAGACTATGAAACAAGTTATACTGCAAAGCACAGTAGTAGTCAAAAGGTAAAGTGTTTTTCTACTGAAGGTGCGTTAAGGGGAAAGAGATACCTACAGGGAAATAGCTGGTTATAAAGACAACTCTTGGGGGCACCTGGGTGGCTCAGTTGGTTAAACTCTCACAGTTTGTGAGTTCGAGCCCTGCATCAGGCTCTGCGCTGACAGCGCGGAGTCGGCTTGGGATTCTCTCTCCCTTTCCCTCTGCCCCTCCCCTGCTTGCTCTCTTTCCCTCAAAATAAATAAAAATAAACTTAAAAAAAAAATAATAAAGACAGCTCTTCAAGACTATCTTTCAGTGGACCTAAATTTGGCCATCTTGAAGATAGAAAATTTGTCAAGTTTTGAGCTTTGGAAAAGAGGAATAAATACAATTATAGAAAGAACACCAATTACCAAGTTAAAAATTGTGTTGGGTCACACATAAGATATTGTAGAAACAACACACAGAATGGAACCAACCTCAATCAAAACTAGAAAAGTCTGAGATCAAATACATTCACTTTATATGAATTTAGCATTTTAAAGCTGTGTTGGTGAAAAGCCAATCTTTTTCAAAGTTATACACATTAAAAAGGATTCCCACGTTAAACTGGCAAGAAGATAAGGATTTGCTTTCTCAATCCTTCATATGTAATAATGAGCACCGCCACAAGGAAAAAGTGAACAAAACATTACTGCGACATCTGTTTGACCTAGATTGTCCTGACTAGAGGAACTGAGCCTTCTTATGTTCTTCTACAACGCAAATTAGAGCCTGAGAAAAAATGCCATCTAGTATGATAGTGAGTAAAAAGACTTGTTATAAATTACATGGGGAAGAAACTAATTCTTGCAAAAATCAAAACATGCTGGTGGTAGAAATGATCTTGCATGTCTGATTAATGTCATGGGGAGAAAAGCTTGAAAAATGAATTGACATGCATTCAAACCCAACTGAATGAGTTCCCAGTTGTAAATACATTCCAGAAAATGCTGTGAACAAGCCTTCCAACAGCGAGCATCATCAAATGAATACTGACCATTACGTGCTCACACTATCTGGGAAATCCAGAACCCCCAGCGGGCTTATTATGGAAATGAAGAGCATGGACAGGGAATGGAACCTCATCTGAGAGGACCATCAAAAGCTTCAAGAAGTGTGGCAGATCAAATTCAACAAATGGAACCAAGGATGATGTTCTGTGAAAAAAATGAAGCAGAATGGGAAAGAAACTTGGGCAGTAAAATGGAGACAATATCAAATGTAGGTAAGGACTTTTTTTTTTTTGTATACTGTTAATCATATATTTTCCATAATATGCTAAATCAGAAGCAATATGGGAAAAAAAATCACTGACACTTCAAGTTGAAATTACAAGTTTCTTTTTCAAGAAGAGAGAACACCTAAGATTTTAAGCTAATATTCAAGAAAATATGGCATATCTCAATTCAGGTTTCAGTTTGTCAAGTAAGTTCTCTATAGCAATTCCAGAGAATAAAAACAGTTGATTAAGTCTTACTCTGCAGCAAAAACTCATCTACATATCCCAGATGAAGTGTTTCAAACTGGGGGAACTCCAACTCTGCCATCTTTAGGGCAGAAAAGACGCCATCTTTGGTTAGGGAAGGCTGGATCCGAACTTCATGTAACCTATGAACAAAGAGATAAATATCAGAGTAAAACAAAAACCATCAGAATCAAAGGGTCTTCCTAACATAAGCCTCTGAAAGAAGTTCATCTTATTGAAGTGCCAAGGGCAAACAACTTCCCCCTCTTCTACTAAAAAACATTAGGGATGTTTTATTTTTTAAGTTTTTAAAATTTATTTTGAGAGTGAGAGAGAGAGAGAGAGAGAGAGAGAGAGAGGATCCCAAGAAGGCTCCACACTGTTAGTGGGGCTTGATCTCATGAACCACGAGATCGTGACCTGAGCCGAAATCAAAAGTGAGATGCATAACCGACTAAGCCACCCAGGCACGCTGAGATGTTTCCTTCAAAGGAGCATTTTGCAAAGTGTGGGCACATCTTAGGCGGTACATTGAAGTTACGTTAATTAACAATGAATTATACAGTAAGAATCTTATATCCTTTCAAGGTGCTTTCTTTCTCTTTTAAAAAAAAATTCTCTTTAATGTTTATTTTTCAGACAGAGCACCAGTGGGGGAGGGGCAGAGAGAGCGGGAGACACAGAATCCGAAGCAGGCTCCAGGCTCTGAGCTGTCAGCACAGAGCTCGATGTGGGGCTCAAACCCATGAACAATAAATCAGACACTTAACAATAAGTCAGACACTTAACTGACTGAACCACCCAGATGCCCCTCAAGGTGCTTTCTTAACCCTGGTTAAGTTAAAAGTCAGAATCTGCGTCTGGTGTTATTTCTTTCACATCTTTTTTATGCTAGCTGTTAAAGTACCATTTTAACAAAGATTATAGTTGTATATTGGGTAACAAAACCTACTTAAAGTTAGAAACTATTTTTATTTATATTGTTAATATACTATTGATAGAGAGCAAGAGTTTTGTTTTTGAATAAATTTAAAAAATGGTTACCTCAATTTAAATAAAATAAAAGTAGAGGTAGACTTTTGATCTGTAGGAAACAGTTAAATGTGGCATAAACTGATGCAAAGAAAGATATGTTAAAAATATAAAAGTGTTACAAGTTCGGCACTCTTAAAAAGCTGATTTAAAATACTGATTTCTAAATAGCAAATACTGTCACCAACTAACTGAAATTATTCCAAAATCATATAGGTTGAAATACATGGTTCCCAAGAGAGCTGCAGAAACCAGTGCATCAATGCTGACTTCTGTTGGACTCTCAGGCACTTCCAGAATGTTGACTGCTCTTCTGAGGTGAGACCGCACCCTTTCAGAGTTTGCTGGATCTGGAGTGCAGCTCGACTGGTCAGCAGTTATATAGAACACAAGATTACCAATAAGTGACACCCTGATGCTAATGTAAACAACTCCTTTGTATTTTAAATCAAGACAAGGCATAATCAAACTTCATACATACACTCCCCCAATTTTTGGAAAACCAGAAAAAACGTAATTCTAAGACAAAAGGCAATGTGAAGAGGAAACATACCTACGAGCAGCAGTGATGATGAGGTAACCAAGATCTACTTCAAGAGCGTTTTTGCAAGCTCCCAATACAATAGTGTGCAAATTTCTAAAACCACCTAGTTAAGGGAGAAAATGAACAAAAACAGTATTTTGTTTGACCACAGCACTTTTAGTAAAGTATTTATACGCACTTTTACACACTTCAGATGATAACTCTTTGGTTAAAAGTAAATCTAAGCTTGTCTTTCTATTCATATTAATATCTCAATATGAATTATGGCTGCTAGTCATTTCCCAGAAAGAGATGAAAATGGACAGATACTGTCCTTCTGAAAAGACATTCTGACAGCATCAAAAAATTACTCCAAATTACTGAGGCGTTTGAGAAAGGATTTTCAGAAAACCAGAAGTTCATAAGGAAACCATTAAAGAAGGGATCCTGACATTTTCTAGCCAAGGTTTGAACCTCCAATATAACATACAGAACAAGACCAGCAAGCACTTTCTTAATGTCAACTGGGTTTTTTCCCCATATTTTTGAAACTTGCAAATATAGAGCAAAAAAAGCACACAAATTATTAATGTATACAGCTCAATGAATTTTCTCAAGATTGACTTTCAACTTTTATGAATTAAAACCATACAGTATGTACTTCTGTATTTGGTTTCTTTTACTGAACATTTTGTTTATGAGATTCATCCAGATTGTTGCATATAGCGGTAGTTTATTCATTCACATTGCTGTGTAATATTCTTTTGCATGAAGATGTCACATTTTAATCATCCATGCTGTTGCTGATAGGCATCTGGGTTGTTCTCATTTGGAGGCTATTATGAACAGTGCTACTGTGAACAATTTTGGGTATGTCTCCTGATAATCATATGTATGCACTTCTGTTGTATTTGACACCAGGAATGCGACTGTTGATATGCATACAATCAACTTTAGTAGATATTATCAAACAGTATTTCCAGTGATTATATCAGTTTATACTCACCAGCAGTGTATGGAACACTATTGTCTTTTTCATGTCAGTCATGCTTAGGCATAGTCATTTTAGTGTTTGTGTATCACACTGTAATTTTATTTTTTGCATTTCCCTAATAGATTAATGACGTTTATTATTTTTTTCATGTTTATTGCCCATTTGGTTATCCCCTTTTGTGAATTTTCTATTCAAGTTGTATCCCCATTTTCTGCCTTTGTCTCATTAATCTTAAGAGTACTTCATATATTCTAGATACAAGTCCTCTATCCGGTATCTGTATCGCCAATAGATTCTCCCACTCGGTAGCCTGGCTTTTCACTCTCTTAATCGTGCCTTTGATGAATGGAAAAAATCTTAATTTTAATATAGTACAGTTTATCAATTTCTTCTTCATGGTTAAGTGCTTTTTGGTATCCTGTTTAATAATAAATCTTTGTCTACCTAAGGTCAAAAAGATATTCGCCTACGTTTTCTTTTACAAACTTTTTGTTTTTCACATTTGGATCTATGATTCATCTGGAATTAACTTTTGTGTGAGGTATGCTGACTCCTTAAGTAAAATATAAGGTAGAATCATTCTTAAACCCCCATTAGCAGAGAAAAGTCTGTTTCTCTCTCAGGATGTGGATACAAACTCTTAACTTTTGGCATCTCCCTCTAGTCTTCTGATAAATGGTTTCACTGTGGTCTCCTTACCCCTGACTTTTTCCTGCTAGCTACAGCCATGCAGTAAAAATAATGCTGTTAATCTCGAGGGGGCCTGCTCCATCCCCTTTACACAATGTAATGAAGTCTACTTACGCCAGACTAGACTGACAAAATGCCTAAAAATGTAGTGCTTACTCATATTTTAACAGTATTAAGAATGTCAATTTGTTACCAATGGTACTTAATAATTTTCCACTTGTATTTCGAATATACAAAGTTAGATTTTTAGTTGTCAACTATTAATTACCCAACTAGCTGAATTTCTTACTATTTTTAGTGCAGTGAGATGTTTAACGTGGAGCACATTCCGTCACATATCATTATTTCAAAAACCATGAAAGGACCTAGAGAGTAAAATATATTTTTCTTTTCAAAGCCATCATCTGATGAATGGATCCAATATCCAAGTGATACACATGAAACCCTTTTGTTTATTTTTTTTAAAGTTTATTTATTTATTTTGAGACAGAGAAGAAGGGAGGGACAGAGAGAGGGAGAATGAGAATCCCAAGCAGGCTCTGCACTGCCAGCACAGAGCCCAACATGGGGCTCAAGCCCACAAACCATGAGATCATGACCTGAGCTGAAATCAAGAGTCAGACGCCCAACTGACTGAACCACCCAGAAGCCCCAACATGAATGAAAGCATTTTATATACCATCAAGTAATAGACAAATGTCAGATACTATCATTACTAATGACTGAGTCCTTTTGTAGACCTAAGGTATACAAGTCAAAAAACGTCTCTTATCACCAATGGACACTTGAAATCCCTGTAAGTATCTCTCAGAAAAATTCCAAATACAACAGATGTATGATTAACTAATAAGTATTAACAAGCCAGAAAACATGCCTTACCACTGTACTATTTATCCTGAGATGGTTGAACACAGCATTAAAAAAAAAAAAAAAAAAAAAAAAAAAAAAAAAAAAGACTGCTATCCCATGCTCATGGTTATTCTCCATTACACACCAGACAGAAAGGGCAATTACTAACAAGCATTTTCTTTTAAAATGACTCACAAGAGAAGCTATAAAAGCGTACTAATTTTTTAAATGGATTTAAAAAGTATTCAGTAACTAAAGTAAAATGAGTACCTGATCTCCAACTGTCTTCAACTACGTGTTGGATAAGACCTCCAAGGAAAGGAACTCGAACCATTTCCAAATGTTCCAAGTTTCGGGCAGAGGCTAAGCCTGTTACTAAGGGGACATACTTCAAGGAGTTTGTGGGTCCTGGTGGGGGGAAAAAAACTTCAGTGGAATGATGTAAATTGCCTTAAAAATAAATTTTCAAACCAGCAGCTGAAATGAATTAACTTATGAATTCTATGTGTGAAACTGACAGCCAAGTAGTTGACTCTCTGTAACTTATACTTATTAAAAATGAAAGTACGTATTAGCCTGTTAACCATATGTTTATTCAGCATAAGGATTTCTCAGTAACACTGGAGAGACACTTAGTATTTTTTGTAAATCCCCTGAAGTCTCAATAGTTTTGAACTCAAAATAACTAAGGAGAGAAAGCCAAGTTGAAAATTTGATCCTTCACTCAAGTAAATAGCTGATCATAAATACCTCTCTAGGTGACCAGTATTGTATTAGATGTTATGGAAGATCACAAGATATAGTCCAATCTATCAAAGAGCTTGTAAATGACATGGAGATGAAACCAACATGACTAATTATAAGGATAAAAAGGTGTAACATATCAACTACAAAAACAGGATCTGTTATACTATATGAAAAAGAAAAAAGAAGAAGAAAAGGCAGGTGTATGGGAAAAGGCAGAAGTCGAAGGACGTACGCAGGTGGAAGGAAGTGTCTCCCTCAGGACAAGGAAACATAACACAGTGTAAAGGAAGACACTGAGGTGAAGGCTGGTATGGTTGCATAGGGGACAGGGAACAGGCAGGTCTGAAAATAAAAGAAGGTACATCTTGGAAAAGAGTCAAAAATAAAGATAACAAGAGGGGCCCTGGTTAGCACTTTAAAGCAAATACTTCCCACTTGATAATCTAGGGCAACAGAGTCACTGAAGGTTTCCGAACAGAAAAGCAGTACCAGACAAGCAGTGCTTTTTGCTTTACAGGAGATTAAGTCACAGTACTATTTACAAGCAGGATAGTTAGGAGACAAGAAACAAAGAAATCAGACGGAGATCTATTAAAACAATCCTACCGAAAGTAAAAAGAGCCTATAAAAATATGTAGAGACACTGTGCTTTTTTTTTTTTTTTTTTTTTTTTTTGCTAAGGTAAAACACAAATCACGTCTACGGACTTTAAAACAAAAAGTACATTTATTTTCACAAGGTAAGTAAGTTATAAAACATAAACAGTAATAGCATAGTATAATTCCATTTACAAATGTGGCTATGGGGTTTCCTTTAGGGTACTTCCGGAATAGCATAGCACAATTAATTCCACCACAACCATGTACCATTACCTGCACAGTTCCTCATGACGAAAGTTCGTAAACTGATGCAAAGAAAGTCTTTGAACGGCTGTGGTTTGGTGAGTCTTACCCATTTCATATAAAGGTGCCTTAGCATCGGGATACAAGGAATTTCAGGAACATTCACCCCTAAAAACATATACCAAAAAAAAAAAAAAATCACTAAAAACTGTATTATGTTTGTATTCTGCCTGTGTAAAAGTGTAAGGTTCTGCTTTTCAAGTTGACAATTTGTCCTTCATGGATATTTTTAACAAAACAAACTACCTAATTAAATTCTATCAAGTTTGGCTTATTTAAAACAGGCTTGTAAAGAACAATTTAAGCAAACCGTAAGTGTACTACTTTGTTCTACTTTCTTATTTCTTTAGAAAAGGCAAATGGGAAGATGAGATTTTAAAAGTATTTCCACATTTTATACACATGAATCTTTCTCATAAGTCTACAACTCTTCTGGGACTCACATACCCAAGAAACGTAAAATGCAAATAAGTTACTGAAAACAAAATTATGTGGAAGGAATACACAACAGTATTCTTTGATGTCAATGCCCACCATCCCACCAGTGAGAAAACTAAATGTCTCAGGACACAGGCGGGCTAGCTGGCTTCAAATATTGTGGTTTCTGGATGATATCCAGAGACAGACATTAAAGTTGTTTGTACCGGGGCGCCTGGGTGGCGCAGTCGGTTAAGCGTCCGACTTCAGCCAGGTCACGATCTCGCGGTCCATGAGTTCGAGCCCCGCGTCCGGCTCTGGGCTGATGGCTCGGAGCCTGGAGCCTGTTTCCGATTCTGTGTCTCCCTCTCTCTCTGCCCCTCCCCCGTTCATGCTCTGTCTCTCTCTGTCCCAAAAATAAACGTTGAAAAAAAAAAAAAAATTTTTTTTTTAAAGTTGTTTGTACCAATGAATGAGCCTTAAGGACTTGGAACTGTGTGGCAGGAGCCAGTCAGTATGACTCTGGGAAAGTGAGAAACCCATCAGTCATTTACTTTACTATTTCAAACTGATAAAGGTACTTTATCCTTCTGATCTGTAAGTGGCTTAACACTAGGAATCATACCTGCAAAGGACCCTGGCTGAAAGAAAGGGAGGTAAAGGGGCAGGAAAAGCCAAGACACATGAAAGAAGAAAGACAGGTAACTTGTAAGTTCTAAATGGAAGGAAGTGGATCAAGGAAACTGCCCAACAACTAAACCCTGCAGGCTCGTGAAAAGCTAAGGAAGTGACACAAGTCTTTGAGAGAAATCCGAGGACACGGTGAGAGAGCATTTAACACGCAGTAGCTGGCAAAACCAGTTTAATACGACTTTGCATTCAAGTTGCTAGAAGCCCTGCTAGAGAAGGCAGAATCAAGAGTACGTGAACGGTAGTTTCTGCGAAGGCTAAATTCTATAGGATGCTCCAGTATCAGGATTAGTCCTGCCATCCGGCCCTCCCCAAAAAGCAGTTACCTTTAGCCTGGAACTACGCATATACACTGTATGGCAGCAGACAGGAAGTAAAATAGGGGATGAGACCAAAGGAAGAAAGGCAGAGGAAACGAAGTACAGACCGTGACTCAAGATGCAGAATTTACAAAGGTATATTTAGCACCTACCAAGATGGTGGCAATGCTAATTAGGAATCTCAAAGTAGCAAGGGTGAGACAGATCTAGACTACACTGCGATATCCTGTGCCCAATCCACGTTTTGCCCCAGATCCATTCTATAAACAAAGGACAGTTACGGGTCCTCCCCTGAATGTGCATTAATTTACTGTACACATTTGTATCACCATCACAGTGTTAAACTGCTGAATTAATCAAATGAATTAATGCATTTCAACAAAATTTACCAACCACTTATATCTGCAATGAACAATGACAGGAATTATAGAAAATATAAAGACATAAAAACAGTTTCTGACTTTACAGAGCCTATGTTATAAACTGCAGATATCACAGAATCTTTGTATCTAAAAATCCAATCCCAAACTAGATATCCCAAGTGCCTAATCAGAAGCACTCCTTGATCTTGTAAATAAAAGGCTGCTAGAGAGCTTTCCTCTTATGCCATAATTGTGCACATAAGTCCTATTTAAGACCTACTTCCGTTAAAAAAAATAATAATAATCATAGTAATTTTTTAAAAAATGGGGGAGGGGTGTGGGGATGCCTGGGTGGCTCAGTTGGTTAAGCCTCTGACTTTGGGTCAGGTCATGATCACACAGTTCATGAGTTCAAGCCCCCACACTGGGTCTCGATTCTGAAGCACCAGATGAGCCTGCTTCAGGTTCTGTGTCTCCCTCTCGTTTCCCTGCTTGCTATGCTGCTTATCAATACACTCTCTTCTCTAAAAATAAGTAAACGTTAAAAAAAAAAAAAAAAGACCCACTTCTTACCATCCCTGCTGCACTCCCTGCACCACCTCACCCAGTTTCAGAAATTTCTAGTTCTTAAACCATGACCAATACTCAGAATAATGCTTAGAGCAGAACAGATACTCAATAGGTGTATTTTTAAAAAAATATTTAATAATAAACATTAAAAGTCTAAGGTAACAGGAGTCCTCCCAAAATCCTTTCCATAATGTAAGCCAAAGGTAACAAATTTGGGGAAACATTTGCCCTTATTATTAGGTTGAAATTATTGTGATATAATTTCATCAACTATGTGGATGGAGGATGCACACTATAATCACTGCAAATAAGGTGCCTTTGGAAAAAAAGCACCCTATTTCCCATTTCTCAGGGAAAAAGAGAAGTGGCAGAATTTTCCATTGGCTCTGGGTTGAACATAGGAGAATTTGTTCTAGAGCTGAGGTGTATAAAAAAGGAGCCTGTAGCTGCATGTAGCTATTTGACAAATGAACGTAAGATAAAAATTCAATTTTTCTGTTTCACTAGCCATAGTGGGCACATGGGATAGTACAAACATAAGACATTTCCATCATCACAGGAAGCTGTATTGGAGAAATCTCTGAAGGGCTGAACTAGGACCGAAAGGACAGGGAACAAGGGCAGGATTCTGGCTTATTGAATAAAACAAGACAAAAAACAAAACCTACCAACTTTCAAAACTGCTCAAACCATCTTCAAAAAGGGAACAGACTGGTTGTGAGGCAGTATTTCTCTCACTCCCCAGACCCACCTAGGGCTCTTTAATGGGAAATATAAATTTGTGTACAAGCATTTCTCTGGCCATCATCAATCAACAGAGCCATTTCTAAAATTCTCATTAGTCCCTTTCAGTGACTATTCAATTATAGGACATTTCAAGGAGTCACAGGTCACCCAAGAGACATGTACTCACCAACTAAATGTAAAGTTTGAATTTTGGCTCCTATAGGAATTTTCAGTTTATTTTCAGGAGGAATTGGAAACGCTCCATTACGATTACGAAACTTCCCCAAAATATGAACATGCGGCATATATGTCCATATAGATTCTACCAACTCCAAATGAGAAGTTTCCACACCCTAGAAAATAATGCCAAGCAAGCATAAGAAAGGCTATTAATTTAGCATCAAAAGCGTCTATTTCTGTATCATAATATACTAAGTATGCAATGGGACTTGAATTTTGTTATGGATGAAATCTGGATGTGAGGGAACATGTTCTTTCGTTCTCTGATATATTATTTCATCAATCAGTTGATGTCACCAGGTACACTCACCACTAAGTTTGGGCATGCCTGCAAAGCTTCCAGAACTCCTGGAATGCTAAAAGCCTCATGCCCCCGTACCCTTCGCCTCTCAAGGTATCTAGGGTGAAGGCCATATAGCTGTTCGACGTCTGGCATCTTCTTCAATAGTGTGAGAAAACTGGAATCTGTGAAGCCTGAGAAATTCAGAAGTATTTAGAGGCAAGTTCACCTTTCTGTTCATGAACATTTACTAGTCACTTCTAATTTTTATCAAAAGTTAACCAAAGGTGTCATTTTAAAAATTTTGTAAGACTGACACTACAGCTGAACAAATGGTTAAACAGAAAACATATTCCTTAAGCAAAAGAGGACATGTGTCAGAAACCCCACTTATCCTGAGTTAATATCTTACAGAGCTAAGGCTTTTTATCACTGCCTTGGTGGTGTTTAAGGCACAGAAATCTTCGACTAGGAACAACACACTTTTAACCTGGATAACTTGCACCTATTACTGGACTGGTGGCTGAGGAAGGACCACCTACCTGATCAGCACCGCCCCCCCCTCCCCCCCCCATCCCAAAGGTACTCTCTGGTCCAGAGAACCTCTAGGGCTCTGCAGAGCACACAACTAAAAAATGAGTAAGATGTGAGGAAGCTCCCAGTTCTAACCTAAATCCCAACAAACCAGGTTCTCTTGGTCTATCCATTTCCTAATAATTACTCTATCCTGTGTTTATCACTCCCTGGACATTTTGAAAAAATGACATTCTGAAAACTGAAAATGAATTGAAATTGAAATGACATTCTGAAAAATGAAAATTTCATTTCTGAAAAAGACAAATGCAAGTTAGCTAAGAGTATCTAAGTGAACCAAACTGAAAGGATGCTGAGCTCACAGAAAGCTATTTATCTGGGAGGCTGACTGTGTTCCATCCACCAGATGGGAACAGTAAGGCAGATTACTTCCACCACTGCAGGGGTTTTGGTATGGTAAGTAGGGAGACCGTCGATACTTCATTATCTGGGATGTTTTGTCTATAATGGAGGTTGTCAGAGAGTCACTTGTCTGCTCACTAATGACAGCTAAAATTATTAATTCTCAAGAACATAAATGAAGCCCCAAATCACTAAGTCTTACATGAGTTGTTCTATTTGCACAGGGCTGGTGCAGATGATTGTGTTAACTTTCGAATCACAAAACTGAAGAGTTAAGAAGAGACCTCAAGGATCACTTGGTCTGATTACAATAACAGCTCTTGCAAAGCAACCTTCACTAACTGAACCAATCAATGTGCTAACCATTCTATACTCTCTCACCTACTCTCACAATCCCCCAAAAAGGTAAATGCCCCACTTATGAATGTAAAAAATGAACTTGAAAGAATTGAAAAGCTACCATGTGGGAGAGCCAGAATTCAAAACCAGGTGTGACCACTGCCAATGCCCATCCTCTTTTGTCACATACTTACTACACATTGTCTCTCGTTAAAAAATCGGTAACCTTCTACCTTTACAGAGATGGACAATCCAAAGAACTTGCATATGTAAACCATAAAAACCATGGTTATCGTTACTACATAGAAAATTGGGGCTTAAATTCTAGGTTTAAACTAATGCCAGGGTGGCATTAGTAAGCAAAGTTAAAGAGATCTTATTCTAGGCTACAGACTGTCTGCTTCAATCCTCTTTTACAGTCACTGCAGGAATGGGAAGCTTTGGGCTCACAGTTATTTATCACAGTCTGAAAGAAATCAGCAAAGATTCTCTTCTAATCTGATAAGGGACAGAGATGTTAATGCGAAGACTGCATCACACGGGACTCTGCTATTTTGCCTGATACAGTACATTAATCCCATTGCCAGAATTCCTGCTGACCTAACCTCTGTTAAAGCAAATCTAACATAAGGAATGGCAGTCATTTTCACACTGCCCTCATTTTTTGTCTTTCCTGCTATAACTGATCACTCTTTGGAAAACAATGAGATCTTTTCCCTCAGAATGGTTTCTTTGAAGTATTTGAGGACAACTGTGGTTTGCCTCCCACTGAGCTAAGTTCTAGCCTTGGGTCTTTGCAGTGTTCTTCACAAAAAGGTATATGCTGATAACTAGCTCTGGCCAGAGGATAAGAGCTACCAGTTGACTGATGATCTTTTTGAAAGGATACAGCCCCCCAAAGTGTATAATATTCCCGTATTGCAGAGATAGTCTGCCCTATTCTACTTCACTTCTGTCAAGGCTCCCCCACCCCACCCTCATCACATCTTCAAAATATCAGAATTGGGATAATGCTAATAAAATGTGGTTCAACAAGACATTTAAAATTGCTACATAGCAGTAACTAAAAGGCACTAATAAATGGATTGGTGTTAACTGAAAAGAAGCCTTGACTGGCCCTTAATTTTAATTCTTCCCTTTCAGATGTGCTCTACTTAACTAAAGTCATCAACTTTCTTATCTGGTCTCTACCTGAGGTCTGTTTTGTGGTCAGGCCACTAACTCTGAAATCTTCACCTGTAAGGCGAATTATGCCTTGAGAATCTCTAAGACCTAGCATAGTCTCAAGAGCTAAAGAAATGAAAGCTCCAGAAGTGCAAATTTCTGTGGCCTGCTGGAGCAGCTTTACAAAAACTGATTAATATTTGTTTAACCAGAGGATGCCATTAAGGGGTATAGAAAAACTATGAAAACCTGCATCGTAGAACAACAGACATTTTGTCTAATATAACAGACATATACTGAATTAACAGCTAAATAAGTATTCTCCAATCATATACTTGTGGAACAGGTTGATATAGCTCCTTAAGGAACTAAAACTGCAAAGCCTCAAACAAAACACATTTTATCAACCCAAACCAACCTAAGTAATTTAGATAAGATTCTGCCTCCCTACCTACGAGGTGATTTAGATTACCTATCTTAAGACAAATAATGTTTGATGGGAATATTATTAGTTTCTAGTAGGACTCCAAGGTACCTTACAGGCTAAATCCACTTACCACTTGGCATGTATTCCCACCACCGCCCTGCACAGAGATCCACAACCCTCACCACTCTCAGATATAGGGTCACTGCTTCTTTTAGCTTCCTGGAAAGACATTCCATACACATGATATCCTGTAGAGGGAGGTACCTTTGTGAGAGAAAGAAACTCATATTTATCAAGTGGATAAGTACTTCCTCTCACCAACAGGTTACTTTTTTTCCTTCTCCAACCCCTCAAATAAGACTTTAGGAATATTTACAGGGTTTTAAGATTAACATGCACTTAAAGCTTTTCACTAAAAACAGAGGAGTCCACAAATATTCAAGCATCCAAATAAAGTACTGAGATCCCTCCAAAGGGTGTTTGCTAAAACTGGCCTTTCTCCTTTTAAGTCTTCACAAACCAAGAAAATCTCAAGGAAAAAAAAAAAAAAGAAGAAGAAAAAAGATTTCAGTGCATCTCCAGGCCTCACAATAAGGGAACATGAACAAGATCAGAGAGAACTAATCAATATGAGCATGGCCAATATAAGTTTATAGCTTTTACAGAATCCATTTTCTGTAGTGGCTAAAAAAAATTCCTCTATGCTCCCTCAACACCACCCAGAAACTCTACGATTTTCTCCATCAACAATATGTATACTAAGTTTACAGTATACCATTTTTTTCCTTTATCTTTTTACCTTTTAGATCACACTCTGATAAAAGTATTGCATAAGCATTAAATGAGAACACCTCATCTCAACTACAATTTCCTCTTTTCCAACTTCCCCTGCTATCTCTTCCTTCCTGAAACTTTTCAACTAACCTCTACTTTTGTTGTTTTCAGTAATAGCAATATGCATTTTGAAAGATCAAAAAATTTCATCTTTCTCTCTTCCTAAACACCTCTCCATGCACACCTAGATGATGATGATGATGATGATTTTTTTTTTTTTTTTTTTTTTTTTTTTTTTTTTTTTTTTTTTTTAAGTAAAGTGGCGCCTGGGTGGCTCAGCTGGTTAAGTGTCCGATTCTTGATTTTAGTGCAGGTCATGATCTTATGGTTCGTGGGTTTGAGCCCCATATCGGGCTCCATGCTGGCCGTGGGGAACCTGCTTAGGATTCTCTCTCTCTCTCTCTGCCCCTACCCTGCTTGCTCTCTCTCTATATTAATTAATAAAAAAAAAAAAAAGGTAAAAACAGAGGCTCAGTCAGTTTAGCTTCTCTTGGTTTCGGCTCAGGTCATGTAATGGGTTCATGTAATGGAGCCCCAAGCAGGTTCTGCTTGGGATTCTCTCTCTGCCCCTTCCCCCCTTCTCTCTCAAAATCAATAAGTAAAAATTATTGAAAATTTTTAAAAAGGTAGAAACTACCCTTTATTGAGCTCACATTATGTCACAGACACTGTACCGTAGTCACTGTTTCACGACTTTACAAAGTAGCTTGTTCTTCATTTGCCCTCCCCCAACCTTTTTCTTTCTTTCTCTGCTAGGCTGGGTTCCCTATCACTCTGGCTAGCAGTTGATTTTGGCCAAAGTACATGATAGGCAAAGGCTTTCTGCTATCGCTAGTCGCCTAGTTGAACTCTTCACCCCTTAGGAACCTCTCTCAATCGTCCCTTCATTAAATGAGCTTCAAATTCTGAGGTTGAGTGTATGTACCCTGTTTCCTGCTAGAACTCCCATTGATACAGGAGGTGCTATTTTACAAGTGGGAAAACAAACTCACAAAAGTTAACCTGCAAAAAGTCAACAGCTAGGAAAGAGGAAGGAAGAGCAGGGATGTCAACACAGTTGGGTTTGACTCTAATTCCTAAAAATTAAGCTAATTCTAAAAAACAAGTCTAAGTGTGTCTGCCGAGTATTTCTCTGCTCCATTTTTTTTCCACCTCTGGACTCTCCCGCTTCCCTTTTAAACTATTTAAAGAGAATAAAATCAAACCTTATTTTACACACTTACACACACGCGTGTGCACGCACACACACACACACACACACACACACACACACACACACACAAGCATTACAGCTAACTTACAGCCTCCAAAACTCAGATATAAGTAGGATAATTTTCAGAAATGACAGGACTCCACGTTTTATAAACAATGAAAAATACTCAATTTGTTTTCTGAATCAAGTTACACACTAAAGAATTTTTGCCTGAAATCACTGATTGTTATCCAAAGTATATGCCTAAGTAAATATTACAATCCCTTTAAATACACATAGATCAGTGATCACATGAAGATTACATCATATTTGCCCTCAGGAAAAAAAATGTATTAGAAGAGATGTGACACTTGATTCCATTTCTTCCATTTGAATAGTCTTTTCAAACTGCAAAATGTTATCTGACTCATTCTCAACTTAAAATATGGTCCAATTCTTTTATATGTCCTGCCATTATTCAACAAATATCTAACACATATTCCTAGAAACAATTTTACCTATGCTTTCTTCCAGGATTTTAACAATGTTATTATTTAACTCACTGATGCCTTTAGAATTTGTTGTCAGATAAGGGAGAGAAGAACATACTTTCATTACTTTCTCCAAATGGTTTTTGGGTTATGACATAATCACTCAAGAATCGACTCAGCTCTTCCTCACTGATATGAATACCAAGTTTATCATAAACTAGATCTGAATATATATTTGAATCCATATATATACCTATATATATTATATACATATATATATTACTCAACTATCTGTGATTTATTTCTCTAGTACCAAATCTTCAATTATTGTATATTTTAGATTATATATGTACATATCGCAGGGTTAGGCTCTTTTTCTGAAAAAACTTCAGACATCTTTCTGCCAAATGAACTTTAGCACCCTTCTGTTACATTATAAAAATTCTGTTATTCTGGGTTACCTATTCCCAGACAGAAGTGAACTGACAAAACTACAGTGTCACACAACAATCTGTGGAAGATAAAGAATAATACAAATTCATGTCAGAAAAGAAAAATAAGGTACCTGTGGTTCCCTACAGTAGTTCTGCTATCATTATTTTAAAACTTCTCGGGGTGCCTGGGTGGCTCAGTCGGTTGAGCAGCCGACTTCAGCTCAAGTCATGATCTCACAGTTCGTGGGTTTGAGCCCTGCGTCGGGCTCTGTGCTGACAGCTCAGAGCCTGGAGCCTGCTTCCATTCTGTGTCTCCCTCTCTCTCTGCCCCTCCCTCTCTCTCTGCCCCTCCCCTCCCCTGCTTGCACTCTGTCTCTCTCAAAAATAAACATTAAAAAATTAAAAAAAAAAAAAACTTCTTAATCGGCAAATATTCAGTAATTTTTAAAAATTCAAAACATTTCTAAGAACTCCATGTATGGAAACTTCCTCAAGGTAAATAAAACAATGGAAAAGCCAAATGCTTGGAAAACTCCATTGCAATTTTTAAGGAAAAAAACTGGAAGCAATCCAGATGTCAGACCACAAGGGAGAAGTTAATTATCATGTCATAGTCAATGACTAAGATGCTAATTAGGAAGACCCCGTTGCAATATGAAAAAAGGCAGAACACAACATAACTGCTAATGCTCACTAAGCGCTTATGCTATGCAGTGTGCTGAGTGCTTTAAAAGCATCAGCTCACTGAATGCTTACAGTAACATCTTTATTGATCGCTGGTCCGAGGCAAGTAAATCAAAGACTCATGATTCACACTCAGGTCTCCAACTCCAGAGACAAGGTGTATTAGGGTTGTTTATCTGAATGAACAGTGACTGACAGAAGCAAGCAGGGGAAACTGGAATGACAGGTTTTTGTTTTCACTTCTTTGTTGTTAAAATGCAGTCTGGAAAATAACATAATCAAAAAATCTGTTTTTGAAAAAAACTTTACCACAAAACAACTTTAATGTGTGCACTGCATATAGTAACGATGGGTATTATTTCATGAAACTTTTATTTCAATCACTTACATATATGTGCATAATGAAGAAAATGTTTCTCACTGTGGTTTGTAGTCAAAAAAGTCAGAAACACTGCCTTATGTTGTACACACATGGTACTGTAATAACAAAAGTCAACAAATCAGTCAATAAGAATTCCAAGAAGTCTGGAATGTTAACATAGTCTAGAGAATGGATGTCCAACAGAACTTATCGCAACAAAAGTTATCTCTATCGTTAATGTCTACGCTGTCCTACACAGTAGCTACGAGACACATAGGGCTAATGTAACTGAGGAATTGGAGTTTTAATTTGATTTCATTTAAATTTAAATGCCATATGTAGCTAGTGACTACATAGAGAGTGCAGCTCCAGAATTTGCTCCTACTTATACATTCTAGGTGGGTAAAAATCAACCAAGCAAAATCTTACCTAAAAATATGACAAAGCACTTCATGTGAAAGTTGATTCATATAATCCTTTGTTTCATCGGATATGGTTTCCTCAGGGATTTCATTATTCATGAGACATGTTTTAACACTTTTCTTTCGTGGACCCATTGCTATGTTATCTCCAGTATCAAAGAGCAAATCTTCCCTCTTGGTTACTTGACTGCAAAGCACCTGAAAGCAAGCAGAGAATAGAGTAGACTAAATAAAGCACACCAAACCCAAACTCAGAAATTATCCTTATAAAACAGACTTTTGTAAAACCATGTTTACTTGAAAAGAGAAAGAAGGGTACCCACAGACCACATTCAAATTAATAAAAACATTACACAAAACCCACAGAACATCTTTTTCTGAAGAGCAGCAGAGAATATAAAATGCATTATTTAGAACAAGCAAAAATAATTCAAGGAATCAGGATTCTACATTCTATTCTGTACTGTTCCTTCCTAGCTAATTCACTCAGTCTCCCCAAGCATCAATTTCTTCCACTTTAAGCTAAGATCATTAAACTAGGTTAACAAAACTCCTTCCAATTACAGAGCTCCCAACCCTAGGACCATCCCTCACACAGACGGTACAAGAGGACTGTTGGGCTCTAGTCCTGGATCTGCCAAACTACTTCTATGAACTTGAGTCACCTTTTAAATTCTTCATTTTCCCCCCCTATAAAGTCAGGGGATTAGACTCCACAAGTAGGTCCCAGAACCCTTCATAAATCTGATAAAAATTACAGACCTTCTGCTCAAAATCTAAAGACTGTTTATGTGCAATTTCAGAGAGAACAAAACCGCCCTTTTCCTCTCCTGTAAACATTAAGGAGCAAAGGTTAATTCACTTTTGTGTCAAATGTATGTTTCGCTTGTTTTTAAAATAAGCTTTGGGGTGTGCCTGGGTGGATCAGTCGGTTAAGCGTCAGACTTCGGCTCAGGTCATGATCTCAGTTCGTGGGTTCAAGCCCCACGTTGGGCTCTGCACTGATGGTGTGGAGCCTGCTTTCGATCTGTCTTCCTCTCTCTCTCTGCCCCTGCCCCACTTGAGCTCACACACGTGCTCTCTCTCCCTCTCTTTCAAAATAAATAAAAATTTATAAAATAAAAATAAAATAAACTTTAGTAAAGGAAGAGAGGGGAGGAGGGAGGAAAAGGAGAGGATGGGGGGGGGGCGGGAGGACAAATTAAAGTCAGATGAGCAAGCACCCAGAGGTTTGTTTTATTTTGCTGACCAGGATAAGAGGGAACCATGTGAAAATAGTGTCCTTTAAATAGCATTATCAATTATCATTGGTAACATTCTCAAAAATGTCCTGGACTCGAACTCTGAGAACTCTAGATCACAGCCTAACCTTCGTCATGCCACAGTGATGCACAGAAGTGCAGTTCCAAATCAGCGGATCTCTAGTAACTGCTCGGTTTTGTGCACCACCTTCTCCTTTTCCCTAATTGTAATCCTTTACTATTAAAACTTGCTAAAGTGGACTGCATGCTTCTATCTTCCTACAAAGTAGACTCATTAAAAGCTTAACCTTTTCCTGATGACCTGAGCTTATCAATAGGATTCCGTGATGCCTCTCCTCAGGGACTATGCAAGTCTGTGGGGTTCTTGGGGACCCTTTGCTCTACCGGTAAATGGGAGGAAACTACAAGGCTAAGCAAATCCTCAAGATTTCTTGTGCCTGTGTGTGTTCTGGTCTCTTCCCTCACAGACAGGTCACCTGTAATTTCTGGCAGTTAGCAGTGTGCTTGCTCCCCTTGCATTACACACACACACACACACACACACACACACACACACACACACACACACACACACACACACACACACACACACACACACCTACCTCTAATCCCTCTCTAATTTGTTGCCTCTTCAGCCATGGCCTAGGAAACCAGAACAACATGTCTTTACAATTGTGTGGATGAGTATCAACAGGCAACTGGCAGTACAGACCTAAGGGATTCCGCAGAGTAGGAGCATGAGCTACCATGCTCTCAATTCATGACATCTCTTTTGCTTTCTCAAAAGCTTATTTGTATGTTGACCGTCCCATTTTGGCTAAGAGACCTCTGGAGACAGAAAAGTTTGTACTGAGAACTGCCCACAAAAAAAAGTTATAAATACACTCGTCTGTTTCTATCACTGCCCAACTTTTCCTATTCACTGCCCCCTCTGGCAAAATGAACCTTTCCATCTCACGACAGCGCTGAAACTGCTCTAAGGTTATTTTGATCTCCTCATCATGAAATCCCACAGGCTCTCTTCCGTGCTCCCCTCACCTGACCCATCTGTAGTATGGGCCAGTGCTGACCACTGTGTCTATGAAAACTTCTCATCATGTGACTACTTCTCCCCAAATACTCTCTTGATCATCTTTATTCCTGCATGACCACTCCTCAGTCTCCTTTGCCAATTCACCCTAGAATCCTCTTCTCCCAGGGGCAACTGTATCCATTCTTGGGGCTTCCTCTACTACAAATACACTTAAAACAAACAAACAAACAAACAAACAAACAAACAAACAAAAGTATTCTAGTTGCTATCCCTTCTGAGCTCTAACCTTTACTTCCTCTGCTTATGAGAAACCTTCATCTCAGGATCTTGAACATCCTTCAAAAATATTATGCCCGGGGCGCCTGGGTGGCGCAGTCGGTTAAGCGTCCGACTTCAGCCAGGTCACGATCTCACGGTCCGTGAGTTCGAGCCCCACGTCAGGCTCTGGGCTGATGGCTCAGAGCCTGGAGCCTGTTTCCGATTCTGTGTCTCCCTCTCTCTCTGCCCCTCCCCCGTTCATGCTCTGTCTCTCTCTGTCCCAAAAATAAATAAACGTTGAAAAAAAAAAATAAAAAAAAAAAAATTATGCCCAACCTGAACTCTCTCCACAACTACGACCACCCCCCAACCCAAAACATGTTCAGTCACTCACACACACACACACACACACACACACACCTGCTTTCCCTACTCTAGTTTACCAGATGCTCAAATGAGAAACCTTGAAATCAGTCTCAAATACTGCTCTTGCAACCACGCCTGCGGGCCTTCAGGCCTCTATCAATCCTCACCTGGCCGACTGCAATGGCTTCCTCAATGATCTCCTTGGAGCCTGGAGCAAAGCCTACCACACAGCACGCCCACAGTAAGTAATTTGCTGAATAAATGCTTAATGTATCATACTCCACGTTGAAAGCAGAATGAGCTTTTTAAAACATTCTTCTGATTGCATATTAAGTGGAAAAAGCAAGATGCAGGTTATGCAGAAAGTATAACCTTATTTGCATAAGAGAAAAAGGACAAATATGCTTGTGTTTGCATGGGACATTTCTGGAAGGTCCCACAACAAAATAATAACAGTGGTTACCCTTGGGGAGAACAGGTTAGGAAAGGAGGAAGAGATTTTTACTTTCCATATATTCTTCTCCATTATTTGAAAATTTAATTTGTTTTGTATATTAAACCTCTTAAACAACAAAAACAAAAACACCCAAATCAGCCTGCAAGGAATCCTAGTTTGCATAGGGTAAAATATTTCCCATCTAGTCTCACAGCACCTTCCCAGTCTTATCTTTCAATCCTTAGCCCTTGTTCCTCAGGACACTCACTCCAGCCACACCAATGTCCTCAGGGCCCCCAAACATTCATCTTTCATTCCCAATTAGCTATTAACTCTGACTAGCTGTCCTTCCCTCCCCATTTTTTGCCTAAAACACCACTAACCTGCTTTCAAAATCTAGCTTAAAGGTTAAGTCCTTTGTGAAAACTACTCACCTCCTCTTTTGAGCTCCCTGCGACACTCAGCATATGCTTCTCCTATAAAAACTTGTGTAGTATTTTCTTGGCCACGGTTCTGCCAAGAAAAGAAGCTCAAATCTCCTACTTCTAGGTGAAGACAAGTCTTTGCTCACAATAAATCCTCAAATATCTGATGTATGAACATCCATCATTCTTTCCATTATTCCAGAGGCATCCAGTAGCTTCAAGGCTGCTAAGAACCATTTCATGGTCCTATGAGCACTCTGTTTGCTATGGCAGCACTCAATGATCTTAGCAACGAGCTTCTAACCCTGACAAAAATGCAGTCCAATTTTAATCCATAGGATTAAACACAAAAGAAACAGCTATCTGCACCTACAAATGCCTCAAGGAGACTATTAACCAGTTTCAACCAACCCAACCATGGATGAATTTCCCAGTTATTATATTTTAGCACATGCTTCACTTTTAAGGATCTGGACAACTCTAACCTTTCATGAATACCTGTTCTTGATTTTCATCCTTTAAGCACAAATCTTTCATAGCCTTCCTCCCCCCCTTTTTTTTTCTCTACCAAATCCACACCACTAACAATTTATACCCTCTTCTTATGATTCCACCTTTTGCTGTTCCCTATTATTTTGCAAGCTGTGATTTTGTGGGAATCAGGTTTAGTAGCCTCAGTGCACAACCTGCACTTGAAGTTTTAAAGGAAACAGACTTCACCTTAGAGTTTATAGAAGTTCACTTGTTTAGAACTCAGAAAAAAATACTCACAGGTATGACTGCATACATTATGCAGAGATCAGGTGCCCAGCAAGCCCACAAAAACCTATTTAACTTATAGTATGCGTTAACACTAACTACTGAAGGGCCTAAATTAGCAGCACTAACAACATTTTAGGTGAAATTATGTACATCATTTTCCATATCGTGCCTAGAGTTGAAGACTTAGTCATGCAGCTACCTACTTGACAGCAGGTGGAGTAGTGACTCCCCTGCCTTAAGCCTCTGGTGGGGGACCCGTGAAGATGAACACTAGGGTAAAAGATAAGATCTCCATCCTACATCCAGGGGCTTAACAGTCAGGACCCACAGCCAGAGGAAAGCCATCAGTCCTCTCCTCCTCCAAGTAGGTGCCCCTAGAAATATCCAGGAGATAAAAAGATTCCTCATTAAAGGACTCATTTATTTTGAGTACTATCGCCACTCCAACTCTACAGAGGACAACAAAATTATTTCAACGAAGGTTGGCCTTATCTTCCATTTCAGTGAAATACTAGCCAGGTTATGCTGAGAGAAACAGAGGCCTGGTATCCCTGTATGAGAAGAAAACACCATGCAAGACCAGCAAAATCCAA